AAATAATATTAGTAAATGACCGCCAAGTACAGAGGCTCTGAGCCTGATGTTAATAATGGAGGTTAGAAAGTGTGAGATGCTGCACAAACCCACCCCAGGGTGTGAAAACCAGATCATACGATGTAGGTCTTTCCTTGGTCCAATAAGAAAACGGGGTAGGAAATGGTTGTAGTGACCACATCTCGCTGTGTGCCCAGGATCATTTGGTCCCTTGCCCCAGTGTCACTTCCCAGATCATCAGCCATGCCATCCCACACTGGGAAGACAGCTAACCACTCAGCTACTGGCAGGAAGCCACAGACATTCAGAAAAGAAAGAGATCAGCTTCGTGGAAAGGGCGTTGGGGGCTGGTAAGGAGAATGGAGGAGGGAAAGAGGAAAAGGGAATTCTTTGCATGTGTGAAAATGGGGAATCATGAAGAAACCCACCCAAGCAGGAGGAAGATGCAAACCAGAGAAAGAAGAAAATCAGGTCAGATGATTTGAATGTCAGTGCAGTATGGAACCTCGACCTTGACAGATGCCAAACCAGGCTCTTGGAGAGAGGTGGGGCCTGGGGCTGCTTGGTTGGTAGCAATACTCAGGCTGGGGTAACACTCTGATTCCTCACTTATGTCCTAAGTCGAGTTCTCTGCAGCAGTGCCCGAGACAAGGCATTTACTGGGGGAGGACCCTGGGAGCCAGGGAGTGGGGGAAGCTGGAGAGAGCAAGGCAGGAAATGCAAAACAAGGTCTCTGTTGAAACCTGGCTTCAATCTGATCCCAAAGGAGCCTCGGACCATGGGTTGCACCTAGAATTGGTGCCTAGTGTAACTAGGGGGTGGGCCCTGGGTGTCTATTCCCAAGACAACACAGGGGAGAGATGAGGCAAAGGTGAAGGGACTCTGGTTGGCAATCGCCCAGAGAAGGAGGCAGCTGTGAGTTGTTGAAAGCCAACAGCTCTAACTGTGAGAGGATGGGTCCAGCTCCCAGCAAAGGGTATGTGGCCAGAACATCAAGTGCACCCTCTAGATCTGGGCAAGCACAAGTCCCGGTAGTGGGGTGGGTTAGGAGTTTAGAAAACAGCAGTTGAACAACCATGGACTCCTTATGAGTCTAGAAAAAGCTTTAAACCTCCAACAGGTTAGAGAAGCAGAAAGATCTGGGGGACTGCCAGCTAATCATACCGCCCCTCTCTGGACTTCCGCTTCCTCTTCCACAAACCAAAAGGAGGCCATACCATGTCATCTTGAAATTCCCTTCCAGCTCTGCGAGTCTCTGATTCTATATCATGGCATGCCCTGACAGATGTGAGCTGTCACAGCAAAGCAAGTTCAGAAGGCAGGCAGAAATCAGGAGGACACGGTGATCAATAGCAATTTAAAGTGCCTAGTTCAACTTCAGGCAGGTAGCTAAAACGCAGGGTTCCAGGGTCCAGCCGGTGAGAGTCAGCAGGCAGGGAAATGCGTATGAGAAAACATCACCAGGAAGACGCTGGACTCTTCCTAGGCTCGGGAACTGCAAGGGTTTGCACTGAGCAAGAATTCATTGGACCAAGGTCTGGGCGGAAGGCATGGGAAAGAGTAGATGAGCGAGTGTAACTGCAGGAAAGCATGTGAAGAGGCAGCCATGCCAGTGGTAATCAGTGGTTTGGAGAGAAAGGGACAGGGAGTCGGATGTTATATTCTCTGTCCTGGCGCTGGGGGCCCCAGGAGGGCTGGGGGCTGAGAGAAGTTCGATCTCGGGAAAGATGGGTTCAAACTTGTCCCCGGTGATGGAGATAGCACAAGGCTGGGCATCAGTTGTCAAGAGTCTTCACGACCTCAAAGACCACTGAGAATAACAGCGTGGTGACAGATGAACAGAACCTTCAGCTCTCTTCCCTCCCAATTACACTGACAGATTTGCAGCCGTGTGAACTGTGGTGTCTGCCTCTCGCCCGGGCAAGGGTGGAAGGTGGTAGAGGGTCGGGCAGGTCTGCTCCCAGCTCAACAATAGATGTTAAGACCCCTGCCCTGGTCATCCATCACATTCACTTTCATTCGCAAAGTCCTCAGGCGCTGGCCTCACTGCGTCCTCTGCTTTTCTCCCCAGGGTTGGACAACATCCACAGGATCACGTCCCAGGGCCGCTACGAGCTGCATGTGGACATGAGGGACGGCCAGGAGGCGGTCTTTGCCTCCTACAACAAGTTCTTGGTGGAGGACAGCAGAAGTCTCTACAAACTCCGCATAGGCAGCTACAACGGCACTGCGGGTACCTTGGGGACCCTGAGGGTGGGGTGTGGGCAGCAGCAGGACCACCACACTCTGGGCTTGAGCTGCAAGGAAAAGTGGCCGCACCCAGGGAGCCAGCTCTGTGCTAGCCAGTCCGGGAGGCCAGATTCAGGAGGCCAGATTCGGGAGGCACTGACTTTGACCCCGTCTGTCACCCCCCACCCAGGGGATCAGAAGTTAATTCCTACCATGGGGGTTTTCTAGTCTGAAAAGTGTGCAGTTGTAAAAAAGAGAGAGAGAGAAAATAAAGGCAGTGAAACTACTTTTAAAGGAAAAAGGAGGGGGGTTACAATGTGAGAACAAAGGTTTGTGTTTCTTATCTGGATTCGCCAATAAAAAAACAGATTCCGTGCCATCGAGTGTATTCTGATGCACCGTGACCCTGCTGGCATAGCGGATCACAAGTCAGATCCTGAGTGGATTCATAAAGTTTAGTAGTTCAAAACTACCAGCCACTCCCAGGGAGAAACGCGAGGCTCTGTGCTCCCGTGAGGACTGACAGTCTCAGAACCCCCCAGGGGCAGCTCTGCTGTCTCACAGGGTCGCCAGGAGTCCCGTCACCATAGGGACTCTTAATCCAGAAGGAGCGCTGTCATCTTTCGTCTGGGAAGAAGTTTCCCATGAAACATGAAACATCCGGAACCCATCTTAGAATTCATGGGAAAATAGGACAGGTTCTCCCATTCACTCAGAGGTCCTCCCCGCCCTCAGACACCACACCCCCGTCACGGAGCAGACAGGGCCCCTATTGATCACCTTCCTTTGTGTTCTTCCATCGAACTACCTTCGTGGCCATGTTTTCTGGATAGATGCTCTGACATTTGCACTAAACAGAAGCACCATCACTATAAGCTCGTTTGCATTCGTAACAAGGCATCTGGTCTGCTCCCTAGGTATTTGCCAATCTGTTTCCTGACTCTGTTATACTCTGTTTCAGAGAATCTGTTGTGTCAGATAGTCGACTCTTTGATTCGCGGAACGCTTAGTCCTTTTGTGCACTCCAGTTTGAGGGCTACACGCAGGTGTAGCGTTTCAGCTAAGTTGAACGGCCAGGGCTTTGTCCTTCCAGGGACTGTGTCTGTTCGATTATGTCTCTTCTCAGCCAGGTACCTTTGCCCCAAAGAGAAGACACATTTTCCTTTGTGATCGTGCATCTTAGAGATCATTTCCGATGGCAATCAGATCACCCCATCGTGTCCCAACAAAAGATCTAATTTGCCTTTGTTTAGGCATAAAATCGCTGTGGCAATGCCGCGTATTGAACAAGATGTCAGGCTAAATCACTTTAAAAATAACCCGACTCGATCCACTCCCCAGGTTAGAATTGCCTTGCTGAAAAACCATCCCCCCTGACTTCTGCCCCCTGCCAGCCTTCCCAGGCCCTGCATCCCCCCTCCCGCCCTCCTCCTCCCTCACTGGGATGGACCCTCTGCTTGTTTCTGTAGGACTGCAGTCTCACTGCGGCCTCCCATGGAGGCCAGACCTGGTGGAGGGGTTCAGAGGAGGAACCTACCAATCCTTGTAAATTAATCAAAGCCAGATCCCTCACCTCAAATATTCTACATGCTTCCTCAAAAACTGAAAACTGGAGTTGTTTACATTGCCCCCCATCTCCAGGCAGCCTCGCAGTATGCTCGCTCTTTCTAGATCTAGCAGTTTCTAGGGAGGAATCGTCCGTGAGCTCTGCTTCTGACTTCTAACATTGCTCCATTCCCCTGGCCCTTATTCTGAGTTGTTCATTTGTACAAGCTCTGCCCCTGGGAGGTAGACGGAGCTCTGATGGTGCAGTAGGTCAGGCATTGGACTGCTAAACTCAAGGTCAGTGGTTCAAACCCACTAGCCGACCCATGGAAGAAAGACGAGGCTGTCTGTTCCTGGTCTATCTACTGAGCAGTTCTAGTCTGTCCTACAAAGTCACTGGGGGGGAGAATTGACTTGGAGGCCGAGAGCTCGGTCTTGAGTTTAAGACCCATGCGACAACACACCCCTAAACGTGAAAAAAAGCCCTCAAGTATAGTCCTTTCTGCTCCCTGTTTCTCAACGCTATACAAGTCGGAGTGTCCAACCAGGATTCTAATTGGAATGGAAAATTCCAAATCAAACCATCCCTAGGAGGTTGCTATCTTCCAGATTTCCCTGCACAAGTGAGGGAAGCTCCCAAACAAAATGCATAAGGTGCAGCCTCTGCCGAACCAAACAGCTAAGTCGACAAAGGAGCAATTAGGACACAGTGCATCACATGATAAATGGGACCTGCTCCCAGGCTAGCAGGCTGTTAAGAGCGATGTCTGTGAGTGGGAGGAGACCATCGAGGGGCTTCATGAAGCAGCAGCCTTTCACAGGAAAGGTAGACCTCCCGGGGAAGGCGAGGCTATGATGGGAATCATGGGGCAGGGGTCACAGTGAAGCAAAGGTCACCCATGCAGGGCCTGACCCAGCAGGACAGGGCACAGTTGAAAAGGGACAGAGAGACTGGCAGAGAAGAGTGGACACAGGTGCTACAGGAGGACCTTAAAACTGAGGAAGCAGAGCTGCGTGTGCCCAGCACTCAGTCTGGTCAGGAGAGGCATAGGTGGGGGAGGTGGGCACACTATGGGCTCCGTGAGGTCTGGGGAAGACCGGGGTGACAGCCATAAAAAGGAGTAAATAGATCTGATGGAGATTAGAGAGATCCGCCGGAGGTCCCGGCTTCGTCAGGATTGGAGGGAATGGGATGATTCATTACTGTGATCGCAGCAAGAGATGTCAGAGAGAAAAGCCCTGGTTCCCATGTTGGGTGTATGGGGAGAGTAATGCGGTAGGAGTCCAATTTGTGGAAGTGGTGAAGGTCAAGGCCATGCGCATGTGGCAGGAAACATCCAAGTTGGAGCTGGAGAGAGAGACTCCAGAGGAGTGATGAGCTCAAATTTCTGCCCCAGATCACAAAGGGTCAGAAGAGGGTGGGAAGATAGGAAGACAAAGGGCCGGCATGGGTGCTAACAGATAGAGGCACTAGACAGTAGGATAAACTTGTCTTGAATTTTAAGATAAAACATGAGTATGACCGAAGGTGGCAGACGGTTGGTGCTAAGGAAAAAAAACAAAACAAACGCATGGCCGTTGAGTCGATGATGCTTCATAGCGACCCTACAGGACAGGGCAGAACTGACCCTGTGAGTTTCTGAGGCTGTAACCCTTTATGGGGTAGAAATGCCCATCCTTCTCTCCAGGAGCAGCTGGTGGTTTCGAACTGCTAACCTTGCTAACAGCTTAATGTGTAACCACGCTGCTATTGGGGCTCCCAAAAAGAAAAAAAAAAGGAGGGGGGTGCGGAATAAAAAAAGAAACCTTTTCAGCTTTCCCGAGATCTGGAAAAGAGGGAGGAAAATGGGTAGCAGGCGATAGGAGTTACTCTTCATAGGTTTCCAGACTTATGTGACCTACCGCCCCCATTGCAGGGAAAATAAAATTACTCAGCACCCCCTGGCAAATAAAAGCTTCTGCATGATAGCCCATCATCCAAGATACAGGGCAGGAATCTGCATTTGCAGCCCTAGATCATTCAAGCTTCCCTCCAGCGGGTTGACGCCTGCGCAAGTCAAGAGGGTTGACTCCTGAGCAAGTCAAACTTCTCCGTAAACTACAGGTCAGCCGTCTGAGAGTGAGGCTGCAGGAGGCGCTGAGTAACCACCATGAGGGCAGAAACACAGCTAGGGATCTGGCCCCTACCTGAAAGCTACCAGCCAACCATCAAAGATCACGCTCCACAGCATAAGCCCTCTTCACAACCTCCCCAGCCACACATCTCACCAAAAGGTTAAACAACAACCACAATTCACTGCCATCGAGTCATTGCTGACTCCGTGACCCCAGTGGGTTTCTGAGTCTGTAACTGTTTACGTGAGTAGAACACCTAGTCTTTCTTCTACGGGCTGCTAGTGGCTCCAAACTGCTGCCTGAGCAGATCACAGCCCAACGCCTAACCATTACATCCACAGGGCTCCTTAAAGGTCAATCACTATAAATTAATTACAATCTGTGCCCTCACCTCAAAGATTCAATTCATAAGCACACCCTCCACAACATCCTCAACAGGGAAGCATCCAGCCTCTGTTTGCTTCTAAGAATTGAAATCTCGCCATTTCTCGAAGCTGTCTATGAGTGAACAGCTCTGTTTTCAGTTACCTTCTCCTCAAATATTTAGTCAAAATATGTCCCCTTACAGTCTTCACCTACTGATCCTCATGGCTTCCCCACAGAGTACATTTTATGATTAAATATATGTATTTTTTTTACCAACTGTCTTAGGGAAGCAAAACCAGGAATGTTTATAGATGTGTTTATATTGAGAAAGTTGCACAATTATATGAGTAGGCAAGTCCAAGTCCAGACAGGTCCCAAGTCAGAGGCTAGGCTGGAGGTGCCTCCTAACTGGAGTTGCTGTGAGGGTTGATGAACCAAGGACATCAACAAGAGCACAGGATGGTGGCTGCAGAGGCAAGTGGATCCAAGATGAATCAGTCAAGCGTGTGGCTGCTGAGGTGAAGGAATTCACAGTTGGCAGATCAGCTGTCAGGCTGCTGGCTCAAGTCCAAATATCTGGAGGTCAATGAGCCACCAGACCCAGTAAAAACCAAGCGAGCTTTTCTACAGTGTCCACTTATATTGGGAGCAGACCACATTCCAGAGGAAATTTCCTTTCGATTGATTGCATCAGGACTGTGATCTGACTAAGAGTATTACAACCTATCCTAATCTTCATATTGGCTGCTCGTAGCAAATCCCACCAGGGAGCTGATACATTGAGTTAGCGTCCCTCATGCAGGATGGATGTTCTGTGGCCTAGTGTCAGCCTGGAAGAAAGCAGAGGAGGTGGTGAGGCCAGGCTGGGTGGACATAGTTTGAGCCAAAGGACAGGAAGATAAAAGAAACAGGTTTGGGAGGGCAACCTGGAAGGAGTTGGCCTCAGCGGGCAGGGTGGTGTAAAAATTGAGTGGCCAGACGGACAAACTGGTAAAAATGGGAGGAGAGGTGTGTGGAAGGTTCCCCAAGGGAAGGCCAGGTGTGGGGGAGTCCATCAAATATCCAGAAAATCCCAAGAAAGGAGAGACAACTCGGACAGCTTTATGGATGTCGCTCTCTATTTTATGTTTTCCCCTCCAGGGGACTCCCTCAGCTATCACCAGGGACGCCCTTTCTCCACAGAGGACAGAGACAATGATGTTGCCGTTACCAACTGTGCCATGTCGTACAAGGGGGCCTGGTGGTATAAGAACTGCCACCGGACCAACCTCAACGGGAAATATGGGGAGTCCAGGCACAGCCAGGTAGGGTATTTGTGATGGTGGCCATGGGACCAATGGTCCCTTAGCTTTGTGTTTAAATGTGCAGGTGGGTCTTACATTTCCCATGTCAAAGGAAATACGGAGAGCCCTGCGAAAGGGCATGCGGACCCTGGGAGATGGGTGGGACGGGGTAAGTACCTCAGCTGGCCCAAAGAGGTAGAACTCATCCAGGACAGCCCTCAAGGGCCAGGTCAGTCTCTGCATTTCCCTATGTAGAAGCCTCCACGGAAAAGCCGGTCAACTCCCGGGATAGCCCCACAGGCTCAACTTCATCCTAAGAAGGAAGAGATCAGAAATAACAGTGTAAACTAGACTAGCTTTTCCTCTTAGAAACTCCACATCCCCAAGCCAGGCTGAGTGACAGAGCAACCAATTCATCCCAATTTGCCTGAGACTCGGCCAGTTTTTGCACCGAAAGCCCCAAGTCCCCAGATATCCCTTAGTACCAGGAAAACTGAGGTGACTGGTCTTCCTACAGGAAACCTCCCGAGTCTCCTCTCAGGAGTGAGCAAGCAGAGTGATTGTCTTCAAAATGTGCCCTAGCTGTTGAGACTTTGAACCCAACCATTAACTACTGGCACCTCCAACTCCTGAAAGCCAAGCATGTAAGGACAACGATAAAGAATGCACTAAGAAATAAATGAATAAATAAAAAAGAATGAGCTCCAGGTACAAGTGCATTTCAAGGATAAGGTGAAAGAAACCCCGCTCCCTTCACCACTTGGCATTGCTGGGAAATGTTTAAATTCACCTCTTGAGCTGCCTGCTCCCATCATGCCATTCTTGGTGAGCTGGGTTTTCCATCGAGGGGAAGACCCAAATGACATGCTTATCTTTCTCCCGCCCAGGGGATCAACTGGTACCATTGGAAAGGCCACGAGTTCTCTATCCCCTTTGTGGAAATGAAGATGCGGCCCTACAGTCACCACGTTACCGCGGGGAGGAGACGACGGTCCTTGCAGTCCTGAGGAGGGGGGAGGGGAGCCACCCCACCCAATCTTTTCTGTCATTTATTTGTATTTTATAATAGGAAACAAGGTGGGGGTATTATTAATGTGCTTTGCACCATATTACGAGTGCTTTGAAGGGAGCAGGGATGTAGCAGGGAAGTCGTAAACCGTAACCACTTAGCATTTCTGCTGTGCCCGAAGCCTGACCCTTGGTCTCCATTCTCCCTCCCATCCCACTGTCTTTAACCTTTTCCTTTCTCTGCCAAGAGGGAAAGTGAGACAGCGTCTTAAAAGCCCCATTCTAAGGCAAACCCTGGGAGTAAAAATTGTCCCCACGATGGGCCCTGGGCCTGCTTTGCTGGCCCCACTGCTGAGATCCCCCTTGCCTCCTAGGCCTGTGTGATCTGCTCCCTGTCTTCCAGGACAGGTTCGCCCACCAGCCCAGAAAGGAACCCTGAGGCCAGAGAGGGCTGTGGACCACTCACTCCCCTGCCCAGCAAGCACATGCGCCGTGTGCCTGCCTCCACAACCCAAACCTTGTGTAAGGGTCAGAGAATCTCATCTGCGGACCCTCTCGCTCTGACCAACTGATGTTCTCCGTTGCTTTCCCAAGAACAGTGGCCTTTTCTTCCAAGCCCTGTTTCATCCTGTGCCCACCCACCTCCCCACCTGAGCCCTCACAGCCCCACAAGCCCAGCCATTGTCCTGCCCTGGAGTTCCCAAGGCCCTGCCTCCCCCTGGCCCTGGCTTGTACAGTGGCCGCGTCACTGGGTCCGTCACTGCCCCTCCCTTGGGTGTAAAAAGCAGTCATTTTCATCGGAGATGGTGATATGGAACAATTGTTGTTTTCAGTCATTTTGGGTCAGGCATTGAGGGAAGGACAGAAGAAGAAACCAGGGCACCTGCCCTTGAGATTTGAGGTCCCATGGGGCGCACAGGTGGGACCCAGCTCATTTTCTCTCTTTCTGGTCCTGTTGGTCAGAGATTGTCTTCTGAATTGCAAACCTAGTGCTCACTTCTGTCTCCAGGCAGACTGCGGGTGGTTCAATTACAGTCAGACGAGGAAGCGATATGACCAGTCAGCTATTCCCCTGGCTGATAATCCCAGGGAAGAGATGGCATTTGGAGTTTGGGGTTTTTTCTGTTTTGTTTGTTTTCGTTTATCTTCTTTTTGGGTTTTTTGGTCTTATGAGAACCAGGAGTGACCCCTTTAATGAGGTGAGATCATGAGATGCCGTTCTCCATCTTCTTTTATTATTCTGCCTTTGAGAGGGACAATGAGAAGTGCCCGGGGAAATGACATCCAGAAATTCAGAGGGGACGGGGGAGGACAGCGGGCTGGCTCCCGTTTGATGAGCGGTGCAGCCTTCACTAGCACGATTGGATTTTTACACCCTGGAGAGCTGGAGGCTGGAGGAGCCATGACCTTTCAACTCTTCCCCCAAATCAAGTGTCACCGGCAGCCACCCTGCAGCATTTGCGGAAGTGCCCCCAGTTACCTTCGCTCTGCCTCTCCCCTCCCTCCAGGCCTCTGTTCTGTGGCCAGCAAGACCCACTTTCAACCTTCCCCAACCAGTGGCCGGAGGAGTCAGAGAGCGGGCAATTTTCTAATGGAAACGTGCAATCTGTCCAGGTTTTGAGGACCCCTTGGGTGGGTCATCACACCACTGACGCTGTGAGGAGGGAGGCAGCCTGCCATTTGCATTTGCGTGTGCACTCACGCCCCCGGGAGCAGCCTGCCTGGGCTCCCCCACTGCTGAGCGGTGAAATGGCTGCCTACATGCCCGGGGCTGAAGACTGCAGGTGGCGTTTCTAGTGCTCAGTCCACTGTGAGCTAGGGGGAGAAAGAAAGAGACATCTAACAAGAAGAAATGGAAACAGTTCTTTCAAGAAAACTGCCAATGATACAAGGCTCCTATAGAAGAAGGGAGCAGAAGGGAGCAGAAGGCTAGCGCATCAGCCCACCTCTGCCCGCTGACTGCATGTTTCACACCTGCTAGGTCCTGTCGCCTCTCCGGGCTTCAGTTTCCTCCCTTGGTGAAGGAAAGGTTAGACTACCACAATATCTAAGATCCCTTTCAGCCCTGACACTCCATAATACCAATGTGGGATCTATAATTCTTGGTAGACAGCACAACCATTAAGGAAGGGAAATTCACCAGGATCTATGCTCTGTTTTCCAAAGAAAGGACGGAACAAAGGCAGTCTCTGAAGACATAAGTAAGAGGCACACATGCAGACAAGCATATTCTCACGCACGAGAAACCATTGCAGAAAAGAGAATGCCAAGTAAGAGGCTGAACGCATTGGGTCTTTGAAAACAAAGCCAGCAGAGCCCACCCACCCCCTCCCCCAAGGGAACAGAACCACGAAAAGGTTAGGAGGCCTCAGGTGTTCAAGTCAGGTGAGAGCCCAGCAGCACCTGTGGGAAACAGCACCTGCTGTTTGATTGGACCCGTTCCCCTCTGGAACAGCTCGCTAAGGCAGAGCAGCAACGTTTCCTAAATGTCTTTGAAAGAATTTGGAAGCAACCAGCGAACGTCAAAGATCAATTCTTCCAACCCTCTGTAAAAGGATTTATAGATTTTTTTTTTCATTCAAATGAGCTTGGTGGATTGCATGTTGGGTTGCTAACTACAAGGTCAGCAGTTCGGCTCCACCAGCCCCCTCAAAGGAGAGATGAAGGTGTTTCCTCCTGCACAGATTCAAACTCTCAGAAACCCGGAAGGGCGGGTCTACTCTGTCCAACAAGGTCGCTCTGAGTCGCAATCAACTCAGTGGCAGTGGGTTTTATGAAGCAGACAGAAGACCAGGTGGTACAGTGGTTAAAGCAGCAGGCTGATAACTGGAAGGTTGGTGGTTTGAACCCACCAGCCACCTCTGGGGCTTCCGGGAAACAGTTCTCCTCTGTCCCATGAGGTCACTGTAAATCAGAATTGACTTCGTGACAACGCTTTTGTTGTATTTTTGTTTGATTTTTGGCTGGTTTGGTTTGTGTTAGAGTGATTTTCTCACTAGTAACCACCATTTTTAAGAGGATCTGCGCCCCCACTCTCTCCGCAAAGCCCAGGATCGGCTTGGATGAAGTCTTAACTTTGCTCATTGATTCCTGTCTATCCCGATTCCCCAATCAACGTAGACTTTCCCCAAGGTGCGTCTTGTAAGCACTTCTCACAAAACACCCACCCCTCAACGAGTCCACAGGAAAAGAAGTAGCCCTGCTCAGAAGTGGGTTTAACTGCAGACGCCATCCGGATATGCGCTCATGCAAAAAAACGAGCAAAACCATCAACGATTGCAGACTTACTACCTGGTCCCAAGCCCCAATTTCTCCTCTTTGCCTTTCCTCATCAAACAGAGAAAGATAATATTCCGGGATATTGAAGTCTCCATGTCCAGTGTTATCTGTAGAAGGTGAAGGGGGCAAGTGAGAAGGGGCAGGGCAGCTAGCTAGCCTTTAGACTAGATTGAAAGGTAAGAGAGACCTTGCCTAGTATGGCCTCCAGGTGGCGCTCACAATGCCCACCGGCTTCCAAAGTCCTGAGATCCCTCCAGGTTTCCAAGATCTCTTTTCTTTCTCTCACTACCACTGATTTCAAGTCATAGCAACCCGATAGGATAGGGAAGAACTGCCCCTTTGGGTTTCTGAGACTTTGAATCCTTAGGGAAGCAGACAGCATCATCTTGCTCCTGCAGGGTTTGAATCAATGACCTTGCGGTTAGCAACTCAATGGCTCAATGTGTAGCCTATTACTACAGCACTAGGGCTTCCAGGTTTCCAGGATAATTCCTACCAAATCAAGTCCCAGGAAAACCGGCTGTTTTTGCAGGAGACTGATCTGCTGGGGTGTTGTGTTTTGTTTCATAAAGGCGGGGGGTGGTTCGGGGCAGGGAAATTGTCCAGTAAATTTCCACAAAGACCCAAATGTCTTCTGTCAGTTGGCAGGGAGTCAATTCTGACTCCAGGGGACACCTGACACCGTGTGTGTGCAGCGTAGAGTGCTCCTTAAAGTTTGCAAACTGACCTTCCAGGCCGCTCTTCCCAAGTGCCTCTGGGTAGATTCAAACCACCAACCTTCTGTTAATTTCCCGGTGCTTAACCAGTTACACCACCATGACACCAAAGCCCCTCTAGTCCTCAGCTCCTGACCCCCACCCACTCCACTACTCACAAATCGGCGATGCCCCCCAGACACCTGCACACCCACTTTCTTTCCACCTGAGAACCCACTGACTCCAATGGACTGAAAACTCTACAGACAAACCTGAAGCACCCGTGTTGCCAATGAGTTCACTGCCAAGCCACACGGTCCTAACCACAGTTTTTATTTTCAAGCGTCTGTCCCAGAACAGGGCTGCAGAGGAAGGGATGGGAGGTCAAGGTGGAAGCTTCCCAAGGAGCGCTTTTGAAAGCAGCAATTGAGAACAGGACTCTGTGCTTCTCTCTGGAGACAAGTCAAGCCTGTGCACGCAGTGCGGGCCAAGCTGTGGGAGCTGAACAGATTAGCTAGCTGCCCGATCTGTGAATACTGTGGATGGATATGAAACCATTAAAAAAATTTATAAAATTTCCACCCAAATTTTCAGGAAAGGTGGAGCTATTTACCAAGGAAATACATTTATCTACATCTTGTTTCTTTATCACCAGATAAGAATTCTACCCCCATCCCCACCCCCACCCCAGGCTTCTTTCTTTTTTTGCATAAAATTGACTATGTTGTGGCCTAGGTCACGTGGTGGTCAGTGACTACCTGTTAGGGAGACTTGGTGAGCAGTCTCTTTCCAGAGGTCTGGGTCAGATGGCCATAGGTCTTAAAGATCAACAGTCAAAGACTTCCTTACTTCCATTTCTTTCCCTCCAAAGTGGGTCCCATTTCTACTTGAATCTCATCTCACTTTCCACTCTTAAGATGGCGATAGGTCACGGAAAGCCTCCAACCTCAGTTCCATTTCAGCAACTCCGCAGGAGGTATTTGTTTTCCCTTCCCAAAAAAGCTTGCCAAGACTGCAGCAACGCCTTTGAAACCCCAGAGCCCTGGAGTGGAGCTGGGACAGAGGAATCTTGTGCCTCATACGCACAGCTCCACCCTCTACCAATCTCCCTGGAGACTGGCTCACGTCATAGGGAAAAAGCCAATTGATTCTCTCTGGCTGTACCACCAGGGATGCTTAGCCACTTTTCTGAAGCTGTTTGGCCAAAGGCGCCCTAGTCTTAGCTTCTTCTAGAGCCCAACTCCTTATCTATAGGATAAGATTCCAGCTCAGCACTATTGGAGCACTTCCACACCACCACGCCAAACGAGCCTCACAAACCTAATGAAAATCTCTAACAGAAAACAGAGAAGGAACCTCCATGATGTTTAAGAACCGTAAGGTGGCTAGTTCGAACCCACCAGTCTCTCCAGGGAGAAAGAGGAGACTTCCTGCTCCCAGAAGGATTTGCAGTCTGGGAAACCCTGTACGGGAGCCCTGTGTGTTGGGACTGCGTCCACGGCACAGGGTCTGTTTGAGAGAGTGTCTTGGTAGGAATTCAGGTTCAATTGGAAACAATAACTCTGGGTCGCTCTTACCGTATTCATTCAGGATTTGCTTATGCCAAGTCTGTTTCCTTTGCACTTTTAGCAACGGCTAGGATGGAGGGGGGAAAGAGAGAAAGAAAGAAAGAACAGAAGGAGCTTTATGGAGATAAAAGCAGACTTTCCACAGATGGCCCTCCACTGAAAATGCAGAGGCCAGGCACGAGGGGTCCTGGAACAGGGGTCAGTATTTGCACCATGAATGCTGGCCTCCGACCTCCCACCAGAGCGCCTGTCAGTTCATCCACTTCACATCAGGAAAAAGTTGGGCACCAGGGCTGCCATGGCCCAGGAAACAGGAAGCAGAGGCTCTTTCTGAACTGGCTCCATCAAGCTCAGCTGGACCTCACTGCTTCTTCGCCAGCTGTCCCCAGCCTGATTCCTCAGCTCCGGCATTTCTGATTAATTTTTCAAGGTCACCCCTTGCCTGAAACACGACTTCATCACACCTGCAGCATTTATTGCCCAAATGTCCTTGGCAAACCTCACAGTCTTTGGGCGGTGTTGTGTTTCCTCCAAAGGAGAAGTCCTCCCCTCTCCCCCCAAGCTCAAAAGGCCATGGCAGACACAACTTTATCCCCCAACAAGCTCTGTCCCTTCTGTTAACTCAGTAAAGCAGCTCCTTATTGTCTGGGTGGGAGGCTGGGCGAATGCTAACCTTCCAGTTCAGAAAGGTCAACCCGTCCAGCCTCTCAGGGCCCACTTTCCTCAGTCCTAGCATTGGCTCATTGGCTCCTGTGAGGCAGGACAAGTCCCAGTATCTTCCCTCAAGAAGAAAGCCACACCCCCAGGAATCCTGGGCACCTGCCATAGAGAAGGTTTGCGGCCAGATGCGTGGCCAGCAGATGAATGCACAGATGAGAATTACGGCTTGCCCCCATCCCTCATGCAGCAGCACCCAGGAAGGCCTTGGGTTGATTTTTAACAGCCTCACAGTCACTCAACACTGACTACAGAAGACCAGCACTTGACACACACCTTCAGCGCTGCCGGGGCTCTGGAGAACCTCTCATCCAGTCACTCTGCTTCACTCTCGAGGAAACGGAAGCCCAGCAAGGTTAAGCAACTTACCAAGTCACCACTATTTAGTAACAGAGCTAAGATCATAGCTAGATCCAGCTTTTTCCCCCCTTCCTCTGCAAAGGAGGAGGAAGAGCAACAGTACTGATTGTCCGCCTGTCCTTTTCAGACACTGCCCTCCCCACAGGACCCCTGGTGACATAGTGAGTTACATGTCGGGCTGTTAACCACAAGGTCGGTAGTTCAAGCACATCCGCCGCTCTGTGGGAGAGGATGAGGCTTCCTGTGCCTGTACAGAGTTCCAGCCTATTCTGTCCCAAGGAGGAGTCTGGGTGGCATAGTGGTTATGTGTTGGGCTGCATTCCACAAGGTCAGCAGTTCAAAACCACCAACCACTCTAGAGGAGAAAGAGGAGGCTTTCTACTCCCGTGAAGAGTTACAGTCTGGGAAACCCACAAGGCAGTTCTGCCCTGTCCTGTTGTTGCTCTGTGCCATGGAGTTGGCTGAATCTCACAGGGGCGCTGTGCACAGCAGAACCCAACACTGCGCAGTCCTCTGCCAGAGGGACTGTCCGACAGGGTCACTAGGGTCCGGCTCCAGGGCAGTGAGCATGGGTGTTCTTCGGCTTGGTCCTTCCCACGATGGCAGGGGAGGTGATTTCTTTTCCCAGAGGAGCGGATGGAAACACAGAAAGGTTAAGTCACTTGGTCAAAGCCACCCTGAGCCATAATCTGAACCTCTTTGCTAATTCTAAAGTCCTGGCTTTTTCTACTGCAGGAGGCCGTTGCCTTTGTATATTAGCCAAGTGGTCACCCTCTTGGATTCTACAGCTCTCCCCAAGGGGTTTCAGGTGTCTGGTTCCCTCTTCTCTTTGTCGTCCATGTGTTTGTCACATGCCCCAGGGGACCGTCGCAATCGTCATTCGGAAAGAGAGACGTGGCATCCTAGCAACGGTTTCCATTTTTAAATTTGGAGGCGGGTGACAAGTTTCCACCGCAGGTTGGGAGAGAAAGGAACGTTCCAGGATCACACACTATCCCCAGCTTCATCCTTTGGGGAATAGTGCCCTTTCTTTCTCTCTAAATATCTGGAGAATGGAAGATTCCAGAGTCTTTCTTCTCAAACAGAAGCAGTGTGGTCATGACTGGAGAGACGAACGCCGGAGAATAAGCCTGGCCCATGCTATGAGAACATCTGGTGCACTCC